GGACACCTCCAAATCAAGTCGTAGGGGTTAATATAGTCTAAGGGATCGGAAAATGTAACGGAGAGGATTCGGTCGTCATTAAAGGAGTCCTTACAATGAAAACCTTTATGGGGCCATCATTCATTCTCACGTAGGAATTCCCTCGAAACCCTTCTAGAATTAATTCGCGTGGAAGACCGGATGGAACAATCGAACAACGAACAAACAAGTTAATTTTAGATCTTTTTGCGTTTTACCATTCCGCTAGACGATTTCCGTGTGAATTATGAATTAATGGAAATCTGTGATAACAAAGGGTAGTTAACCTGCCGGGGGTTTGAATTTTCAACGACGGACTAGACGGAATTTAAATATTTGAGAACCGGAAGAAATTGGCCGATAATTTGTGTCTTCAAAGAAGGTTGATTCANTGTGCGAAAAACTTATTGCCCAGATATAGGTAATGGAAAAATAACAGTACCATAGCTTACAATAATCTTTATAAATGGGAACAGTGACTGTCGGTGGTCTTTGGAGGGGAACATTCGACGAAATTGTGGTGGTTTGTTACTATTTCCCTTTCTATGAAGGATTCTTAATGGTGTTTCGAGATAGAAGCATTTATAGCCGTATGAAAAGGGATACTTTTTTAAATACTTTCTCTGAAAGAGATATACAGTGTGTAACAAGGAAAACTCAACAGAGCCGATTTTGAATATAAAAAGTAAAATTTTAAAAAGTCTCGGAGACGTCGATATCTAATTAAAGGGGGACACCTTTTAGACTAATCAGATTTTTTGAAGTACGCACCCCCTCGGGGGGGTGCGTACTTTCCCATATTCTGGGAAACTGTACCTCACTATGTGGATGACTTGATCAGAGGGGAACAAATCTCCCTGATGTACGGGAGATTTAATACTACCAACTAGGAAGACTAGTATACAACTAGTTGATGAGATGTGACAATCAAAGTAAAGGTAGAATAAAATACAAACAAATTTATTGAAATCAACCTTTATTTTGTGAAAAAAAAATCAAACAAATGTTTTCATTTATTAGTAGGTAAGTATTTATTAGCTTTAATCACTTTTAGTTCTATTTAGTCAGACATTTCTCTCAACATAAATATCGGAAATTCAACCATTTGGCTAAGACTCAGCTATAATTTGACAAATTAACAAATTTAAATTAGTTCTTACCTTAACTCCTAATACTTAAACTTAATTATATCAGTAATTTGCTCTTAAAAATAATTACTACTCTTTAATCTCTATTTAAATCACAGGGAATAATAATTAGTGTTGATTACCTTAACTCAAATTAAATTGATTATAACAGAATAATTTGTTCCTAAATAATGATAGAAAACTCAGTATTTTTCATTTTTGTTAATAATATTTTTTAATTTACAGCTTTTATTAATATTTCAATTTTTATTCTCTGGTTGTAGCTTGTAGGTATGTTATTTCCTTGAAATTTCAGTTTTTTGTTTTAATAAAGTTGTTATTTTCGGTTAATCTTTTATTTTTTTCAAGGATTTCAAATCAATTTATATTATATTAGACAATGGAAGTCCGAACTGATGAAATACACCACGAAACATTGTCAACCACCTTCAAACAAATGGTGTCATTAGTTTTCATGCTATGGTGATGTTTTGTTCAGTTAATAGTATATACTTATCTTTTGCCTTTTCTGTGAGGATTGAAATTGTTAAACTTGTTAAGTTTGGGACTTTTAGACATTTGAGGTTATAATTTGAAAAAAAGTCTGTACTGTGATAATTTGTTTAATAATAGCTTCTCCAAGGACACCTCCAAATCAAGTCGTAGGGGTTAATATAGTCTAAGGGATCGGAAAATGTAACGGAGAGGATTCGGTCGTCATTAAAGGAGTCCTTACAATGAAAACCTTTATGGGGCCATCATTCATTCTCACGTAGGAATTCCCTCGAAACCCTTCTAGAATTAATTCGCGTAGAAGACCGGATGGAACAATCGAACAACGAACAAACAAGTTAATTTTAGATCTTTTTGCGTTTTACCATTCCGCTAGACGATTTCCGTGTGAATTATGAATTAATGGAAATCTGTGATAACAAAGGGTAGTTAACCTGCCGGGGGTTTGAATTTTCAACGACGGACTAGACGGAATTTAAATATTTGAGAACCGGAAGAAATTGGCCGATAATTTGTGTCTTCAAAGAAGGTTAATTCACAATATTTTCATCGAAGAATTCCAAAGATAGGTACATGGAATTTTCAGGTCGATCCGTTGAATAGTTTGCCTGAAACGGCTAATTAACGCTCATCATGAAAAGCCGTGTATTCAAGCAACACGTTCCTTTGATGTCTTTCGAGCCTCAGCTATCTCTATCAACTTCACTTTGCTGTCATCCAAAATTATTTTGTGAACTTTTTTGATGTTTTCGTCGGTAACAGCCTCTTTTGGGCGTCCACTGCGTGCGTAGTCCTCGATGCTCATTTCACCTCATTTAAACTTAATAAACCACTTCTCAACGATTGATTTTCTTGGTGCTAAGTTAGAATGATGTTTACCAAACCAAGCCTTGGCTTCAACAGTATTTTTTTCGTCAAAAAGCAATGCTCTATCAACATTTTATTCAAACTACCAGAAGTTGCTTCACTGAAATTGTTCTATTCCCTAAACTAATGGTCCGACAGCTGGGAAATTTGGATATGTGTCTTTTGAAAGTTAGGGTTAACTTAAAATCATATGGATTCAATACCAGTAGCGCCATCTGTGTGTTAGCCTATGAATTTGCCAGCCCACCTACATATTATGTATTGATTTAACTTGGTTTATTATTAAAATTGATAGTTGTGAACATAATTTTGCCTAGAAGAATTTTATGTTATTATTATCAGTTACTAGCTGACGTACCCGGCTTTTCAGGTGGCTTGGGGATCCTGAATTAGAAGTTTTACGCAGTTGAAAGTGGAAATACATTTAGAAAATTTGAAAGCGTTTCTTGTGTTATTTTGATTATGTAGTCGTAATTGTGGTCCTTCTAGTTCATCTATTTTTTACAACAATTTTGGCACATCTGTGCAGAACCTTAAACACTAATGTTTCGGTAATATATTCTAGGATTACATAAATAGTGGTATTTAGGTCTGTTTTATAACGAAGAACCATAATTGCAGTTCTCCATACTTTGTAGTTATAAACAAAATCGAACGAGAGGCAGATTTTTAATAATTTCTCTGCTCGATATCTGGAAATACAAACAAAATCACAAATATATCTCGATTCATCTTGGTATTAAGATACTATTTTAATTTACCACCATAATCTCAGCGACAGGAATAATATAATATTCGAAAATAAAATACAAGAATAATCTAGATGTCCAAGCTTATTCGAATTACTTGCGAAGGGGCCTATTTTGGATGCGTAACTTACAACGTATGCCACATAAGTTTGCTCGTGAACAGAGTTGAACAGATGTGCCATAGGACCTGCAACAAAAATTCAAGATACAAGAAAGAAAGTTTCGAGAGAAAATTAATTTTTTTCTTTGCGTCATTACAGATTCGACATGTGGGACACGCGAGGGAAGTGTCAAAAAATGTTGAAAATGATGTCCATATGAGAGTGTTCTTAAATTGTTTATTTGGCATAGTTATATGTCATAAAAAACCATATTTCATTATATAGTGCCCTGAAAAATAAATATTTGTCGTAGCATATTATAACAACAGCGAATAATTTAAATTTGTTACAATAGTTTTGATGTTTTTACGGATTGAATGGACGTTCTCCTCGAATTATGTGAGAGAGTGAAGAATTCGGATTGATGAGGGTTGAGACTGTTTCTAGATGATTAGACAGCTTTTATCTTGTTCAATTCACTTCAATTTCAATTACGGAATGTAATCACGGTTGTGATGATAATGGGGTTTAGTTGTTTTCTCTGATAATGCAATCAGCATAGTTTGAATAGCCGGAAAGCGCTCCACAATTGAACGGGGATAAAAAAATCGCTGTGATAGTAATGACCTGATGAGCGAATTAATTTGCAATCTGGCAACTGACAGCTCTATCGTAAAGTTGAACATTTTTGAGCTTATACGTACCCAGAACATTTTGACATACGCGCGCTATTCGTGTTGTTTACACTAACTTAAAAGATTCATCACGACCCAAAAATGGAATCAAATCGTGAACCTTTTCGTGCGATTATTTTTAATAGTCCAGTCATTATAGTAAGTTCACCACATCGGAATTCGAGATACCCAGCTGTGAGTCTGTAAATACTTGTATATTGACACCCTAAAAGTTGTCTCAAAACCTACATATGGTAGGGTGTAAGCAACTATTAAATTTCAAGGTTAAAGGTCACAAAAATCGGTTTTTTGCGCTTTTTTTGGAAATATCTCATTTCCTATNTTGATCCGTTGAATAGTTTGTCAGAAACGGCTAATAAACGCTCATCATGAAAAGCCCTGTATTCAAATTGAAAGGGGCAATCATTTGGAAGAGATTACTTTTTGGAAAAGAGAAGTTTTGACTTTCTACTTCTCAAAAAATTAACTGTAAAGAAAGAAGTCACTTTCAGACACGAACTGGAAGAAAAAGTCGACTCGAAACTCTGAATTACACGAAAAACACTTTTCTGTATTCCGTTTGTATTCCAAAAATTCGTGATGGAATCAAATCAGATATCATTCACAGGATTCCTACACACATTTATTGTATCTAGATGGAGAAGTAGAAAGCCAAAATCCTTCTGTCTTCATATCGTTCATAAACATGTGCTATCTTCTGAAAGAATGTATTAAATGCTGAGTCATGTGAAGGTCTGTCAGGTAAACTTAATTCTTTGATTATGTTCAATCAAGAAATTCAAAAATTATTTCAGATCTTCACAATTTTGATTCAATCTAGTAAAAATATCATCAATATATCCTTTTTGTACTTTATGGAGCAAGCATTTGATTTTCAAAGAAGTAAAAGATGAGATAAAATGCTAACAACCATTTTGTTTTATTTTTCAGATTGTGGAAATTCAAAATTTCCGATGGTCAAGAAAAATGCCTCCAAAAGGTTATTTACGTCTTGAGGTACTTCTTCCCGTATATTACAAATGGTGAGTAATGGCTTGGCATTTTTATTTCCTTATCTATCAATACCGATTTTAATTTCAATGCATTTGATTCAAATGACGGAATCCTGTGAATTCTTGTGGACATCGTGTCCGCCTACCTGGTGTAAATCATGTTTTCCCCCGCGCTTTCAACTGATGGTTGCTGTTTCCATAAATCCTCCGATATTGATTTTCATTCAGCCTTGCATTTCGGATGACGAACAGGATCTGGTTATTAATTCTAATACCGAAAGGAAAATGAGAAATGGGAAACGACCCAGTTGACCGGTACAAATAGGAAAAATTAACGAGTGGCCGTCAAGCCGACTGATCCTTTCACAAGGAAAATATGTCGTTTTCTGCGAAAAACTTATTGCCCAGATATAGGTAATGGAAAAATAACAGTACCATAGCTTACAATAATCTTTATAAATGGGAACAGTGACTGTCGGTGGTCTTTGGAGGGGAACATTCGACGAAATTGTGGTGGTTTGTTACTATTTCCCTTTCTATGAAGGATTCTTAATGGTGTTTCGAGATAGAAGCATTTATAGCCGTATGAAAAGGGATACTTTTTTAAATACTTTCTCTGAAAGAGATATACAGTGTGTAACAAGGAAAACTCAACAGAGCCGATTTTGAATATAAAAAGTAAAATTTTAAAAAATCTCGGAGACGTCGATATCTAATTAAAGGGGGACACCTTTTAGACTAATCAGATTTTTTGAAGTACGCACCCCCTCGGAGGGGTGCGTCCGACGACCCTTATTTAGATAGGGAAAGTAGGTCGATTGGTACCTATCGTAACAACAT